CAGAATACGAAAGCGAAACGTCTTCAAAATAGATAAAGTAACCTATCAACTTTGTCTTTTATTTCTCCACTTTGAGACCGATATAAGAACCCACCACTCGTCTGAGTGATCCTTATAATATATATATATATATATATATATATATATATATATATATATATATATATATATATATATATCTTTTTTAAAGGATTTTTTAAATAAAAGTGTTTATCATTCATGGTATACAGCCAACTAAAGGAATTTTATTTCCCTTGTGGCGTATCCACATTGTGAAATGGGGATACGAATAATGGGCATCCTTTTAGGTCTTCGGAAATGTCCATAAATTTAAAAAGGAGAATATGCCTTCTATGAGTCATGTTCTTGACGGTCTTTACATATAATCTCTAAACAATGACACATGACACTCACGCGTAAATCCGCAAACAAGTTCAAAATAACTTTTGATAAAAAAGAACATTAAAAATTGTAATATAGATATCATCAAGTACATGAATTTGAAGGGGTTAAGAGGTATGCAGATATGCTTAATGCCTTTGGTGATCAATGTCCTTCGTATGCTACCGAAGAAAATTTGATTGCAAGCTTCAAAAGAAATAAATTTTCCATTAAAGAAGAAGACCGATCGAGAAGGTTAGTTTCTGTCTCCACCCCCGTAAACTTCGATGTAGTTTAATTATGTTAACCGCCCAATTGGGCTTAACCGAATATTTGCCTTCGATTTAAAACCATTTAAATTATACAACAATTTTTGCCTGCGCCGCTGATATCATGTTTCGGGTGTGTTAGCATGGATGTCTTTTCATTGTTGCATTCCAAACAAAAACCATTAAATCGTGACCTTATTTGTAATTTTTCGCCATAAAACCAAACGTGAATTAGTATACTTAATGGAGCTACCGATATTAATTGCTTGTCAACAAAAGACCACTAAAAATATATTATAATTCTCGTATAAAGAGGTACCTCATAAATATTGAATTAATATTTTTATAAACATCGCTGTTTTTCTTCGATTGTAGCACAACGAAAGGTATTGCATGTTTTACATTTTTTGCCAAATATCGAGGAGGCTACGGAAGGCAAAAAAAAGATAAAAATCAAATGACAGAAATAAATGAATATAATTCATATCAAATACGGATATAAAGAAGAAACGAAATGATCTTAGAGTACAGATAATTTTAGAACATAGTGTATTCAATATCGTATGCTGTACTCAAGAAAACTGTATACCATTGGAATTGAAATATACCAATGCTGCTGTGATACGTAGCCTACGCAAAAGCTTCCGATTCAGTAAAATGGGATTGCCTCTGGAGAATAATGGAAAATATGGGAGTGTCTAACCACCTAGTTAATCTAATAATAAATCTGTATGATAAAACTCAGCCAAAGTTCAAATACACGCAATATTATTCAAATGCATTCAAAATAAAAAAAGGAACTAGACAGAGCTGCATACCATCACCATTATTATAGAATATATTATATTCTGAATATATGAGGAAAGTATTAGATAGACGAATGGAATAGGAATCACTATAGGAGGCACAAAAATGAGTAACCTGCGATACACAGATGACACACTTAGTCGAAATGACTACCCAACCAGACGAGATGACACATACTAGCAGCCAGCGAAGTCGAAATGACTACCCTCACTGAACAGCTAAACCAGACAGAATACACATCAACACTGAAAAAACAAAAAGAATCATCGTAGACAGGGCAAATAATAATCTCCCGCACATACACCAAGTAGCGAATTTCAAAGTAGTAGACATATTTGTATACTTGGGCTCTATGATAACCAACAATAGCGATAGCTCCTCAGAAACCCAGGGTATACTAAGAATGGCTCGAACTAAAACAGTTAAATTCTACGTATGTACTGGACAAAACACGGAATCAACCTGTCAATTATTCCGGAAGAGCTTACTATAAAAGACAGGCTATTAAAAAAGTGAACCATCATACCTAAATTGGATGGATTCGACCGTTACTTGATGGAAATTCATTTTATGTAACAATAAAACACTGAAAACTTTGTTTTCAAACTTCCACAAAATTTATTTTAAGTCTTATCACTACAGCTGTGATCACTTGAGAACGGCAATTAGCCGAAACAGCTGTAGTGATAAGATTTAAAATAAATTTTGTGAAAGTTTGAAAACAAAGTTTTCAGTGTTTTATTGTTACATACCTAAATTTCTTCGGCCACATAGCCAGAAGACCGGGAACTATGGAACTATTGGTAGTAGAAGGAAAGGTAGAACGCTGAAGAGTAAGAGGAAGATCTACAACAAGATGGACAGACCAAATGAAGGCAATATTAGGAAAATCTGTACATGAAGCCATCCGTCTGGCACACGATCGCAGCCAATGGAGACAGCAAGCTAATCATATACGGAGAGTGTGATAATGTGGTCAAAAATCGTCAGTTGTACCAGAAAACATCAGTTTTTTCCATGAACTAATTTCATAAGATTGCTATTTTCTATCCTTCGTCAATCCACTGCTGGAAACAGGCCTCTTCCCGATTTTTCCATGTTTTTTCTCTTCTGCGACACTCATTCAGTTTGTCCCATCTACATAGTGGTCATCAGAAATTTCTCTTTGCCGAGACGGTCTCCACTTTACCACCTTTATTTTAATTATACACCTGTCATGTGTTGCCTGACTAAGAGTTGAGTTATAATAATTGTTGCCTATGCGTTCTGTTGTGTACAACTTATAATGAATTTTAACTTATTATTTATTTTGGGGCATAACGCATAGCCCATGCGTTCAGGCTACTTGAAATAAACCACTGAAGAACATAACCTCAGCTGTTTATTGGAAGAGCTGAGTTATAATAATTGTTTCCTGTGCGTTATGTTGTGTACAACTTCTAATGAATTTTATAAATGAATAAATTAATTAAATTTCTACAAAGCTGTTAAGTAAATGCACATTGGCGATTGTTTACGATTCTACATAAAAATAAAAAAAACATATCACTTCCATTGGCCGTTCGCTGTGGAATTTCCATTGCTAGAGCCTAATCTTCAAAACCTATACCATAAAATTTTTACTTTGACGCTTGGCAACAAATACGAGGCATTTGAAATACGCCTAAAAACGCTGAATTTAAACTTTCACATTACAAAAATTTCAAATCATTGGTGTAATTTCTAGCTGAAGTTGTGTAGTTTCGAAAAACGTACCTGTACAATAAAAAAGAAGTAGTTTCAAACGTTTTAGCTTGTTTTAATGTGAAAGTTTAAATTCAGCGTTCTTTTAGACATATGTCAAATGCCCCATATTTGTTGCCAAAACTCTCGAAAAATCGAAATTTCTAGGCTCTAACAATGAAAATTCTACAGCGACCGGTCAATGGAAGTGATAAATTTTAGTGATCTCATAACGATCTTTAAAACAAATTTTATTCAAAAAAGATTTCGCGCTCATAACTGCTATTCAACATGACCGGTCGCTTCAAGCGTTGTTTCTGAGGGAACGCATTCATTCTATAAAAAAGGTACTAATAAATATTTTGGTTCAAAATGATCTTGGCTACAGTTTTTGTTTGAAACATTTTTTCTATGGCGTTGATTCTTGGTAAATCCATATTTTCGGTTCCTACACCAACCCTTACGGGGAGGGTTCTAGGGGGAAGTCCGGGGTTAAGAGTGGCAAACATTTTGCATCTTTTTGTGGTCCCAAAATTGGCTTGTTCGTATGGTTTCGTATGTTCGTACAGGTTCAGTGGCATTTTCGTCTGTGATGACTAAAGTAAATATTTTGATTTTATATCCTTTATTTAGTTCAATTCTCGGCTTTAGGCAATGGCGGCCTAACCAGCCCAGAGATGAATGTATCCATCTTTGGTGACGAATAATATGGCTTCGATTCCCACTATAAAAATCAAAAATAATCCCTAGGGACACCTTATCTCAGACACTTGCTTTAAGGTCTTCATCTATTTTTATGTGAAAGGTAGCATTTCTGTAAATATCATTAATAAGAGATATCTTATATCTATTCTAGCCTTGTCCAGAGCTAAGAGAAATGCTAAGGATTCGATCATATCAAAATCCTTTTGGTAGTCTATGAAAGCCATGTGTAGTGGGATGTTAGATTCCGTAGATTCCTCGATTGCCTTTCTAGGTGCTTGCAGATGATCCACAGAGTGCTCAACTGGTTGATAAAGATTAAGCTTTGCTATCAAACGATTTGCTATCATTCGTATTAGCAATTTATTCATGTGAAAAAAACAGATTGTTTCTTGTAGTATATTGTCTTCTATTTTTACAATTTCACGGGCTATTGGATCTTCTCCCGTTGCTTCTCTATTCTTCATTTGTTTAAATAAGTATACTGAGATTTTTATCTGACTCGTATATTTCATGCTTAGTCTTTTCTACTGCTCTAGAACATTTAATATTTGATAAAAATTTGGGCGAACTAATTCTTATTGGATATTTCATAACTGTTAAACATAAAAGATAGGACCAGGTCGACTGGTGGAAAGACACATTGTAAAAAACCAACTACATTGCTCCATTAGACATTTAAAATGAACCAAAAACAAGTGTTCACAAATGACACGCTTCGAAAGAGATCACAATGACCAAAGGCAATCAATGGCATCACGGCAATGAGAACTTCCATATAATTGATAAGTAGTCTATCTTTTAGCTATGTTCCAGTATCAAATGATACCGTTTCTGTATCTTTAGGTTCGAAAAAAACCGTTTTGAAAATATATTTATATGCGCTCAAAAATTAATTAATCTTCATGGAGAACACTTAGAAAATCTCAGAAAAACGTCCACGCCAGTACAAGTCAAGACCAACAAAAGTTTCCATTCTCCCCCACAACAATGAGATCTGAGGCCGGCTAAAAACAAATTACTTCTTAAATGGCCAAAATATTCTATTTTTTTAAGACGGGCTATATGTACAACTTAACTACATGATAACTGAGTTATAGTAAGTAAAATAATACTTACCAAGCATTCCGATGCGCCGAATTTTGCTGCTGCATCCCCCTGAGCTGCACCTTGACCTCTCCCAAAAACACATCATCACCGATACCCGGCGTGTCGTGCCACATGGATACGTGTAATTCACAAATTTCCGCATCACCCTCGCACATCGAGTCTTTTCCCCCGTCAAAATTCGAAAACGGAAAAACTTCGTCGAACTGAGGACTCGTCGTTTTTTTGCGGACCTTAGTTCTTTTCGATATACTTTTTCCGTTCGTGTACGACACGCAAACTAACGCGTACGGATCGCATGAACCGTTCTTTAAGGTTAACTCTAAACAACGCACCACCTGCAAGAGAGTAAATATTTGCATATCAGTTAAATATCATTAATATTAGTTCATAATCAGTTGAATATCAGGTTAACGAATATCTTTAATATTAGACAGAAGGTCGTTGAATATCAGTTGAATTCCAATTAAATATAAGATGAAAATGAGGATTGTAAGGTATTTACGATGTCAACGATTCGTAGTCAACGAGTTTAGATGAAAACAGAGAACACCATGAGTATGATAATTTGCTGTACATAAGTGGGCTATATTTATCTTTATCGTGTTATATTCTTGTGTATTTTTGTGACCAAATATCGAAGATAATATCAACTAATTGAAAACTTGGACAGTTTTCGACTAGAAGTGCCCAAAGTTAAGCATGAAGATGTCTCAAAAGTACCCATATATATTGGAAAATGGCCATACGAAATGGTCGGCACATACGTAAATTTGGCGATTATTGTAAACACCATGAAAATTATATACTATAAAAAATAAAAAGACATGAAAATGAGTAAAGAATAGTCCATACCTGTACTAGCAGCCTTCTTTTGTAAACGTTCGCTTCCGTATCGAACTTAATTTCAATGTTCACTTTCCCTTGCACCTCGGAGTCAGCGTCGACCGCTTTGATAGGGAACCAATGATCCTTATTGTTATAGGAAGACAGCTGCTCTCTCCGGATCGCCACCTTGCCCAGCATCTTGTCCTGTTTCAGATGGCGATCCCGGTCCAACACGTAGATCGAGATGAAACGAAAATTTCGAGGGACTTCGAACTGGAATTCTTCACCGAAGAAAGGACTGTAACAAAAATATTTCATTTATACAAACCTTTAATAACACAAAAATTTGTTATTACATTATGGCAAACGTAAAACAACTAAATCTTCACTAAAATTTAAAAAAAAAATTTAATATTTTTGTTTAACTTGAACTGTACCGTCACAATTTTATAAAGTCTACAGAACTTCTAAACAAATCTAGTTGATATATCTTGTTCTTTGAGTACCATGACTAAATTAGGCGTGGGTAGCTTCCATGACTATTTGACGATATTGTTCTTGATCTTGCACGGCGTGTAACAATTTATCTGCTGATAATCCAGTTGATCACGGTTTCGGGGCCGTATTCATTCTTCCTACCAATTTCTTTTTCGCTCGATTTTTCCGTTAAGTATTAACTGCAGTATACCGTATCCACTACTTCTCATTATATGCCCCAAGATATTCAAGTTTTCTCTTTTTTATCATCTTCGCCAAGTCACCTTCGCGTTGACCTATTTTGTTTAAGACTTCTACTTTTGAGATGCGTTGAACCCATGATATTTTGAGTATTCTACGATATGACCACATCTCAAGGCTTCTAATTTGTTCATCATATTAACCTTCACGATCCAGGTTTCATATCCATATAGTAATATAGAGTACATATAACATTTTAGGAACTTGATTCTTAGTTCTAAGTTCAGCTGAGAATTGCACAGTATAGATCTAACTTTCATAATTGCTCCTGTTGCAAGAGTTTTAATTTCTTTATCCGGATTTATTGTCTCGTTTATCCAACATTCTAGGTATTTAAAATGGTTAACTTTTGTAATCGGTTCATTGTTGACAATTAGTTGCACAGAGCCAACGTCTTGTTTACTAACCACAAGTAACTTTTTTTTGTTGTATTTATGCGAAATCCATTATTGGAGCATTCTCTAGTGACTCGATCTATAAGGAATTAAAGATCTTCGATACTTTCAGCCATGATCGCTGTGTCATCTGCATATCTGATGCTGTTAATAGTTTATTACCCAATTCGAACTCCACATTGCCTTCCAAGGCTTAAATATTATTTTCGAGTACACGTTATAAAGTTGACGAGGAGGTTTAGTCTGTTTCTTTGTTGTCTACCAGAATATAAGCTTCTTAATTCCAATATAGATGTAAAAGTCTCAGATCTCTATCATCTATTCCAATCATTTCTAGATACTCAAACAGCCTATGGTGTTGGACTCTATCAAACGCCTTTCAAAAATCTATAAAACAGACGTAAATTGGTTTCTGTACTTCCCATAATGTTTGAAGTAATTTTAGCATCGAGAAAAAAGCTTCCCAATACTATTCTGAAATCAAATTGTTTTTTTTTACATTTCTGCTTCATTCTATTAAGAATTATCTTCAGAAACAGTTTAAGAGAGTTACTCATGACTTTTGGGAGTGGGATAAAAATGTAGACTACAACCATATTTGCAGCATTATTCCAGTTTCGTATATGTACTTATAAACGTTTGGTAGTTCTTAGACATTCTCGTCATCTAGAAGTTTGAGCCAGTCTGATGGTATTTGGTCAGAGCCTGGAGATTTTCCTGTTTTGCTTTCTTTGATGGCTTTCTCTACTTCCGTTTTTAAAATACTAGGACCAGTATTCATATACTTTGCGGTGTTAAGTGATATCCTCGCATCCTGGAACAGCTCCTTTATGTAATTAGTTCATTCTTCCTTTTATTCGTATAAGTCGAGAATTATTTTAGCTTTAAAGTTTCTCATGAAGATAGAAGTTCTTTTTCTCTGGGTGAAGGTAATTCCTTAAAAGTTTTTTTGTATATTACACTCGTCATGTTTTCTTTTAAGTTCTTCCATTTCACGACATCTTTGTTCCATTCGTGTCTCTTTTACCCGCTTAACTTCGTATCTAATTTGTCGATATATTTCTCTATATCGAGTTTCTCTTGATTTTTCCACTTGCTTCTTTGTTGAATAAGGTCTGATAATTAATTTAATAGTAATCCAATCTTTTTCTTTATTGGGTCTTTTTCTAGTTTCAAAACTTCGTTTTCTATGGTGACCATGACGGAATTCGCCACTCATCTGCTCTTACGGCATTTCTTAGGAGTCGATTTCTTCTGAGTTGTTGGAGATTTTATTCTTTTTAGTTTTAGTTTGAATCCAGCACATAAAAGATTATGGCTAGCTGCTGCGTCTGCACTTGGATATGTTTTTACAGATGTAGTAGTCAATTTGCTGTCTGATTATCTTTCTGAAACAAAGTATTTGCTATAACGCTTTTCTTTTCTTGACAAAACTGTATTAGTCTGTGTCCACTTACGTTTCTTTCTCCAAGTTCATACTTTCTGGTTATATCTTGTCTGATTTCGGCACGACTCTCACGAAAAAAAAAATAATTCCCCTGTCTTGCTACAATTAATCAGAAGGGTAGTAAAAAATAAATAACTTATGCTGCTTGCCATGATACAACGAACCGATCGGAAAAACTAGACCAGTTCATTGGATTTCTATTTACCGACTTTTATAACAAACTGTCACTTAATATTTCGAAGTTCAATCAAGCTAAACCAAACAGATATGGGATATACAGTCACATCTGGTGCAGCAGGTACATCCTTCATATTATAACAAATAGGTAATTTATATATATATATATATATATATTATATATATATATATATATATATATATATATATGTATATATATATATATATATATATAATATATATATATATATATATATATATAGTATATATATATATTATATAGGCTGTGCGGCTGCCTCTCATTCGCTTCACTGTCGAATGGTTTAGTGGATGTGGGATCGAGCCCAAGCTCGGTGTACAGAAAACAAAAAGTCTAACGCAGCAGTTTAAAATTCTAGATGAATCTGCGGCTTAGACTAGGATATGCTGGGATCTGATCGGCCTATGGTGGAGCAGTACGGCAAGAGATAAGGGCTTGCGGCTCGGTGATACTCCTCCATAGATCCCTACCGGACAGGCGTAACGCCTAAAAAACCGGATATATATATATATATATATATATATATATATATATATATAATATATATATATATATTTAGTTCTTTTAATTTCAATGCATTTTACAAGTTCAATACCAGTTACTCAAGGAAAGTAATAACTTTAGAATGTCAAAATAAGCAAACATTAAATCCTGTTATATTATCCAAAGAAAAAACATATTGGAAGGACCTCGTAGGACAAACATTAAACAAAAAATTACGATCATTGTGGTGACAGACACACATGAGCTAAAAAAACGGCAGACAGGCAGTTTAAATGTTTAAACAACATCGATATGGCACCGCATGGAATGTATTTATTCTATTTTATGAATGAACTGCTGTTGCATAACATTTGGCCCTGATAAAAGGAAATGAAAGATAGTTTTCGACGGTTTTTTATCAGCGAGGAATGTGGAAATGGCTTTGCATAATTGTGTAATATTGTTTCGTCGTAATGATAACAGAAAGGTCTACCGGAACAAACAACATGAGGTGTGTGTTTGTGTAACTTTGGTTGGTTGGCTGGGTGATTATTAGTGTTTTTTTTATTGGAAGTTTCTTGCACTATCACAAACAACGTGTATAACGGATATGTTGAACATCAGAAGTACTCAAGAAATCGCCATAAACGTTGGGAAATTCTACCCATAAATCCGAAAAAAATATGAACAAGAAAATAAAACAGAATATATAAGGAAAAGTCTGTCCATTTACCAGTCTTAAGATTATAAGTTCTAAAAGCCTAAAAGTACATTTTTAACTAACGTTTGACGTTTCGATTTTCACTCCGGAAATCGTAAAAAAAAATTATTTAAAAATTTTGCGAAAATGTATAACCAACAAGTTGTTAATAGTTAAGTTATGTATTTTCAAAATTAATTGTTCACTTACTTTGCCTCGATCTTTTAGGCCAGCCTGTTTTTGGTTGAAAAAAATTTGATGGTGGTGTTTTTACCCTAGGAATATCAAATTCATACCCATCATCAGAATGTAACAGGCTTTGGTTGTCAATAGTAAAAGACGAAGTCAACAACAAGAACATACTAATAAAGCAATAGCGGATTAAAGGAAGTCGCAGGCATATCTACAATTTTATTACACAAAATACATATGAAACACACAATATACAAACATATATAATCTACGTAAACACAGATTACACAGACAAATAATACAAAAAACACATGTTTATTGATTACAAAAATTTCAATTTTTCGGCAATAGGGCTATCAGATATAAACGGGTGTGGTAGTCCAGTGTGACTGTCGGTAGAAGTTATACTTCTATACACGCGTTCGCCGTTACAAATTTATATGGGAGTCAATCTGCACAATCATTACATATTTAATGCTATATGTAAGAGAAAGCAGAAAGAGAAACATAATTAGGTATATAGGTATATAGTGCATCGTTTGACAACATTTGACCTGTAATAGAAGTATTGGGACCGTGCAAGTTCGGAAGAGCGAACCTGGTGTCGTAAATAGCAAAGTTACTGCGCTTTTATGTTAGATCGAGGTAACGGTATAACTGTCAAAGGCGTTGCGTTGTGCCCCAAAAAGAATAAGAAGAAAATGTAGATTGATTCAGGTTATGTCGGTGATGTTATTAAAAGGTAAACGTTGAAGGTAGCGTAAATAAAATATAATATATTATTTAATTACGCATTTACTATTAATATGATCAATAAATAAAAATGGATTTGAGAAAGTATATCACCAAATAACTTTTCAACCAAGCACTGAGACAAGGGAAAATGCTTTAATAGTGGCAATGTCAAAAAATAATGGAAGAATAGAAAAATAAATTACCATAAATAATGCTTATGCATAAATTAGCAGGTTAAGCCATGATATCATCATATTGGTTTGAACAATTAATTCTATCCTGTCAACTTTTGGACAGGCGAATATATCTTTATTAATGAATCTCACGAAAACCTTGAACTTGATGCCATTCTTGTAAAGTTCAAAAAAATAAAAATTTAAGCATTAAACTT